CCCCCTGCCAATGCAGGAGATGTGGGTTCGATCCCTGGGTCGGGAAGATCCCTTGGAGTGGGGCATGGCAACCTACTTCTGTATTCTTGCCTGGAGAATCCCATGGACAGTGGACCCTGGTGAGCTACAATCCATGGGGTCGCAGAAGAGTCAGACATGACTTAGTGACTAAACAACAACAACAACACTTCCCTAGTAAAGATCTTGTCATCCTGCTGGCAACAGTCTCCTCCGAGGCTGGCCTCTCCCTGGACTGGGAGCCCCCTATCCAGAAGGGCACTACCTTATCCCTGCCGCCTGGTCTCAAATCATCCGCATCAGGACTCACTGAATGTGCACAGTTTGCTCGCTGACAGATGCTTTCAAACGCGTTCCCTCATCTCTGCCCTGAGAGAAAACCTTTCTCCAGGTTACCCGGCGCCAAGGTTAGCGAGCTGTAGGGGCTTTGGAGGGTGTTCAAGCTCTGCAAACCTCTCCTGGCAGCACCTCATCACCGCCCCCCACCACCACACACGCACATGTGCTTGGGCCACCAGGTGACGACGATGCTCCGATTTAGGAGAAGGGCTCACGGAAGTCTTGGCACACGGTGAAGATCACAAAACTAGCAAGTGCTGGATCCACTTCCCCTTACTCTATTTAACGAACTTTAAAATTGGTTGAACTAGGCTGTGTCACACTAATACAATCTCACCATCAGTCTTCTCATCTGCAAAATGGGCCCATGCCATGGAACTGGAAAGGGGGTTTTGAGGGATAAACAAGGCCCATGTTTCCCAAATGGTGGTCCTAAGACCAGCATCGAAATTCCCTCAATGTGACTGTTATAAATGCAGATCCTGGGTCTCAACAAAGGGAAAAAGAGGAGGGGGGATCTAGAAATCTGATTTTTAAACAATGCTTGTTATCTGACGTGCAGCCAAGTCTGGGGACTCTGAAATTGCAAGGAAAAGCCTGACATGTGGCAGGTGCTAGAAAACTGTTAACATCATGGTATAGCACGGGCAGCACGAAGACACAGATTGCTGTGTGCCCTTGAGTAAGTCACTCGACCTCTCAGAGCCTGTTTCCTAGTTAGTAAAATGGCTCAAAACCAGAAACTGCCACCTCCCAGGGTTCTGGTGAGGATGATCTAAATAAATACACTTCTTGTTGCCACCTGCCCCACCAGTCCCATCAGCTTCAAACTAGCCCCCAGTTTGCCTCCTTTTGCTGTCTCCATTTACCCCCAGGGACCATTTCCTCCAGCCCAGAGTGGTACACCAGCCTAACAGCACCCAGTCAGCCCTCCTCGATCCACTCCCCACACAGAGGCGTGAATCAGACTGTGTCACGCCCCGCTCAGGATGCCCCTACGGCCTCTCATCACCACTGGGATAAAATCCAAACCTTCCAGGCCCTGCACATTATGGCCGCTGACTGCTTCTCCTTCTCCCACGGGAGTCGAGCTGACCCATCCAAGCTAAAGGAGACCTTGCGCAATTCCCTATTCACTTTATTATTGATAGTAACTCCACCTGTTTCCTTTACTACCTGAATTAAGGTGCGGGATGTTTCTGTTTCTTTGCCTCATTGTTTGCTGTCCTCTTTCCCATCAGACGTCAGTTGCAGGAGGAGAGGGCCGCGCCTCTCTTGCTAACCGTAATACACTTAGATCTAGCACGTCGCCGGGCATTCGGTGGACGCTGCATAAATACTGAATGAAGGGATGAGTGGAACAGTTCAGCACCACCCCCAGCACTGAAGATGCAGCAAACGTAGTTCTCTCCTCCCCCTCCTGCCTGTGCTCCCTGCCTCTGTCCCCGGAGCCTTCAGGTAAAGGACAACTCCCATACCCGGGAGAGGAGGGCCAGCAGTGCCCAATGTCATCGCTGCTTTATTTGATTAGCTCTGACTCCGGCATCTGGGACACGTGTGCTGGGAGCCAAAGCAACTGTACCCTGACCTCTGGTCCACGCGATCCCATCCTTATAACGATTTCCATGACAACGGCCACAGAAAGCCAAGGCTGTGAATTCCCTTTGATAGGAGCCGGATGCAGAGACGGGGAAGAAGGACTTGCAGAAGAATGAAGCTCTTTGATTCAGCGCAAGGCGCCTTCATTAAATACCACTATTTTCCAAGAACACACGTTTTAACCCTGCAGAGGGAGATTTCTCATAAATACTTTAAAAAAAAGAAAAACAGAAAAGGAGAAGAAACCACCGCAGTTCCTTTTCAAGAACATTCACCTCTGGGGTGAGGGGGGCTGGATGGCACCAGGAATATTTTGATGGAAGATGGGCTGAACACAGGGCCCCCTGCCAAAGGGGGCTGCATGAACCCGAGATGCCTGAGAGATGGCTGAGTGCTCGGACATCCTGCCCGCCTGACAGAGGTGGCTCAGGTCCTCCATCCGCCTGGTCACTCACACAGACAGGAATAGGCAGGGTGAGGCAAAAGAGCTCCCAGATTCTGCGCGTGGACTCATGAGCCCTGGATTTTAATTCCAACCCTGCCACCCTCCTGCTGTTACCTTGGGTACACTGCTTCGCACCTCCAGACAGAACCTTCCCATCTGTAAAATGGGCACAGTACCACTTGCCTCCCCCAGGGATACCACCAGGATCGAGAGAGGACACATTCAAGCAAAGGTGATTCTAATGTTCTGCCATAGCTGTGAAGAAAATGACTGACCAATCGTCCGGGTTTCTCTGGGACTGAGGGCTTGCCCAGGACATGGGACTTCCAGCGCTAACTTTGAGGACAGTCCACGCCCATCACGTCTCCGGAGGTGGTCGGCTCCCTCTTGGCCTCGCCTCCCATCCACCTCCAGTTCTCCTCTGAGGGAGCCAGGGACGGTGGGGTCTGGAAACCTGGGTTTAAATCCTGACTCTGCAACGTCTAGCTGTGACTCAGTGGGTCACTTCCCCCCCTGCCACCCTGTCCCCTCGCTTGTGAATGGAGGTGATGATGCTCACATAGGATTTCCATTATCAGCACTATCTGTTTCATACTCAGCTCTGCTGGTCACCACGCATGCGCACACGCAGGCAGACACAGACACACACAGGCACGAAGATGTGCTATGCTTCTCCTTCTCCCACGGGAGTCGAGCTGACCCATCCAAGCTAAAGGAGACCTTGCGCAATTCCCTATTCACTTTATTATTGATAGTAACTCCACCTGTTTCCTTTACTACCTGAATTAAGGTGCGGGATGTTTCTGTTTCTTTGCCTCATTGTTTGCTGTCCTCTTTCCCATCAGACGTCAGCTGCAGGAGGAGAGGGCCGCGCCTCTCTTGCTAACCGTAATACACTTAGATCTAGCACGTCGCCGGGCATTCGGTGGACGCTGCATAAATACTGAATGAAGGGATGAGTGGAACAGTTCAGCACCACCCCCAGCACTGAAGATGCAGCAAACGTAGTTCTCTCCTCCCCCTCCTGCCTGTGCTCCCTGCCTCTGTCCCTGGAGCCTTCAGGTAAAGGACAACTCCCATACCCGGGAGAGGAGGGCCAGCAGTGCCCAATGTCATCGCTGCTTTATTTGATTAGCTCTGACTCCGGCATCTGGGACACGTGTGCTGGGAGCCAAAGCAACTGTACCCTGACCTCTGGTCCACGCGATCCCATCCTTATAACGATTTCCATGACAACGGCCACAGAAAGCCAAGGCTGTGAATTCCCTTTGATAGGAGCCGGATGCAGAGACGGGGAAGAAGGACTTGCAGAAGAATGAAGCTCTTTGATTCAGCGCAAGGCGCCTTCATTAAATACCACTATTTTCCAAGAACACACGTTTTAACCCTGCAGAGGGAGATTTCTCATAAATACTTTAAAAAAAAGAAAAACAGAAAAGGAGAAGAAACCACCGCAGTTCCTTTTCAAGAACATTCACCTCTGGGGTGAGGGGGGCTGGATGGCACCAGGAATATTTTGATGGAAGATGGGCTGAACACAGGGCCCCCTGCCAAAGGGGGCTGCATGAACCCGAGATGCCTGAGAGATGGCTGAGTGCTCGGACATCCTGCCCGCCTGACAGAGGTGGCTCAGGTCCTCCATCCGCCTGGTCACTCACACAGACAGGAATAGGCAGGGTGAGGCAAAAGAGCTCCCAGATTCTGCGCGTGGACTCATGAGCCCTGGATTTTAATTCCAACCCTGCCACCCTCCTGCTGTTACCTTGGGTACACTGCTTCGCACCTCCAGACAGAACCTTCCCATCTGTAAAATGGGCACAGTACCACTTGCCTCCCCCAGGGATACCACCAGGATCGAGAGAGGACACATTCAAGCAAAGGTGATTCTAATGTTCTGCCATAGCTGTGAAGAAAATGACTGACCAATCGTCCGGGTTTCTCTGGGACTGAGGGCTTGCCCAGGACATGGGACTTCCAGCGCTAACTTTGAGGACAGTCCACGCCCATCACGTCTCCGGAGGTGGTCGGCTCCCTCTTGGCCTCGCCTCCCATCCACCTCCAGTTCTCCTCTGAGGGAGCCAGGGACGGTGGGGTCTGGAAACCTGGGTTTAAATCCTGACTCTGCAACGTCTAGCTGTGACTCAGTGGGTCACTTCCCCCCCTGCCACCCTGTCCCCTCGCTTGCGAATGGAGGTGATGATACTCACATAGGATTTCCATTATCAGCACTATCTGTTTCATACTCAGCTCTGCTGGTCACCACGCATGCGCACACGCAGGCAGACACAGACACACACAGGCACGAAGATGTGCTATACTCGCCATTCCGCCCCAGGGTCCTGATCTGTCCAAGGCCTCAAGACTCATTGGCTTCAGCCACAAAGAAGGGAACAGGCTCCCCAGTCATTTATAAACCCCGGTCCTCATGTATCACATCTGCATGGCCCCCCCAGCCCTCCCATGCCCCCCACCTCTCCCAGGTCTGTGAAAGTCAGAGGTCAGGGCTGTGTCCGTGTCCACATCTGGGCAGTGTCCACACTGTCCCCTTGCTGGCTGCAGTGCCCTCCCCACCCAGCTCTGAGAGGCCCATGACGCCCACCTGGCTCTGCACCTTCTCCAGCTCCTCCTTGCTGACCGACGTCTTGCCGTCCTCCATGGTCCCCAGCAGGAGCTGCACGTCTGACAGCAGTGCGTGAGTCCTCCTGAGGTCCCTCCGAAGACGCTTCTCCACGTCAAAGTCCCGATGGCCGATCTGGAAGCCAAGGGAAGGCTCCTGTGAGCTAAGATGGCAAAGCAGTGGCCACAGTCCAAGTTCTCTGGAAACAGGCTCCCTGAGTTCAGAACCTGCCTGCACCACTCATACTGTGGACTGTGGACAAGGCCTTTCTCCTTCCCAGGCCTCAGCCTTCTCGCCTGTGAAACAGCAGTGGCAGGGACCACACAGGGCCGCTGTGGAAATTAGGTGCCTGGTCCAGGGCACGACTCACAGCAAAGGCACAACAGTCTGAGCCGCTGTCATGACTGTCTCACACCCTGGGATGATCCAAGCCATCCTGGCTCATAACGTGAACCAGAGCATCACCTTGTGAGAGCCACCGTGTCAGGTGAGACCCTCTGCTGACAGAAGCCAGGACAGCAGTCCCCCTCCAGGGGCAGAGACTGGGCAATCCAGGAGGGGCACTGCCAGCAGCGTGATGAGTGGCGCTAATCAGAGTGCTGGCTTTTTGAACTGATGAAAATTCCGTGCTCTATACAGGTGGGGCGAGGTGTGCGTCTGTGTGTGCAGGTCACACATCAGTAAGTGGTGTTAGAAATAGCTTTGCTGCTCTTCAAGGCCCAAACGATGCATTTCTGTCCCTCGAGCTGGTCTCTTTGGCTAGTATAAAGACAGACCCGGGACTTCCCTGGAGGTCCAGTGGCTAAGACTCTGCGCTCCCAATGCAGAGACCCCAGATTTGATCCCTGGTCAGGGAAATAGATCCCACATGCCATGATGAAGACTGAAGATCTGGCACAGCCAAATAAACAAATAGATATTTAAAAAATAAAAATAAAGTCACACAAATTAAAAGAAAAAAAAAAAAGGCCATTTTCTGCAGAGGAACCTTGCCCAGAGGCAAGCACATTCTGTCACCCAGGATCCTGTCCTCCAAAGGACCAGTAGTCAAGTGGCCCCTGAAGAAGCCGCAGCCTGGACTCTGCACCAGGAGGGCGGATTAGATTCATTGACAACTCCCAGTTGCCAACAACACAGGCTGAGACAAACCAAGGGAGGTGAAGAAACACACAGGGGCCTGATGAAATTCCGACAGCCCACAGTCTCCCCTAGAAACAGAACAGTGACTTCAAAAGCATTGGGGCTAATGTCTCTGAAAGAAACTAAAGCCCCGTTCTCTGCAGGAGACAAGAGGAAAGAACATGGCAGCATTGTTGGGGGGTGTTTAAAGAAAATGGGGTGTATGTTCGTCCTCCGTGGGACCCAGTTTCTCCACCCCTGGATACCTGTGCCTCCACACCAAGTACAGCCAATCCCTAGGGTGTTAAAATGCCCCAGGGTATTTTAGATTTAGAATGAAGTGGCCCAGGCTTGAAACCCTGGTTCACCACTTGTTGGACGTGGAATTCAGGCCAAGTCATGCTGCCTCTCTGAACCTGAGTATTTGTAAAGGAAGAGATTAAAAAAAGAAAAAAAAAAAAACCTCTGTCCTCCTTGTTGAGATAAGACAGGGATCAGACATGATAATGAATCGAAAAGTACTTTGTACGCTGCCTAACGCTTTACAAATATCAAAGATTATGAGTGTTGTCTGATGACCTAGAATGTATTCCTCTAGACTTTACATGACTATTATTTTACCACCAGTTTTGAATTCTTTGAAAAATGAGTTGATTCTTAGAATACAGCCTCTTAGTTCTCAGATACATTGCTTTGTTAAGTTTAAAATGCTGATATATAGAGCCGAGCAGCTGAGGACTGGGCATTCGTTGTTCCAGGCCCTTTGTCACATATTACCACATTTTACTCCCATGATAGTCTCTTTATAGTGACATTATTCTTACCTTTATTAAAATAGCAATAGCTTATACTTAAGAGGGTTTGCTAAGTGTCAGGCACTGTTCTAAACACATCTGAACACACAGAGTCCACGTGGTGAATCTATGGGGTATGAAGTACTATGATTCCCATTTTACAGATGATGAAACTGAGATTTACAACAAAAGTGAAGTCACTTGCCCAAGATCATAAGTGGCAGAGTTAGAATATGAACCCAGTTTTACTGACTGCAAAGAGGTAATTTTAGTAAAATACACAGAGAGGTTATGTGTGGCTCTTTTTTTTTAAAAGGGTGCTACGGAGGTGCAGAGAAGTAGTCCAGCTCAGGCTGGCATGGGATTAGACAGAGTCTCAGGTAAGCAGGAGCTGGTGAGCTGAGGTACAGGAAGGACGCAGCTGAGAAACTGTCCTGAATATGCCGTGCTGGGGGATTAGCATGAGGGCAGAAAGCACAGACAGGGCAGGTGACAGGAGGAGAGAGGCGCTCTTGGGCCCGCTCACGCCTCGTGAGGTGTGTGGGGCACTTCAGTGGATACTGTCACAGGGAGATGGAGGCGCAGCCAATCAGCCCAAGGTCACACTGCTCCTCAGTGTCCACCGGGGATCGGAGCCCAGGCAGTCCATCATTAGAATTCAAGTCTCTACCCACCGCGCCTGGTTACATCAGACCCTGGACTTACTAACTCCAGAGCCCGGATTCTTGGCCGTGATTACACTCAGCCAGCATGCTTTTGCACCTTTCTCATTTTTGCATCTGCCCTTGCTCTGCACGCATCCTAAAGTGCTTTTCATTCTCCTGTGGGGCAGGTCGGTACCAGGGACATTCTGGGTGACTCCATTCTCACTGCCAAAAAGACTGAAAATGCTGGCACCATCTCCATTCCAGAGGGATCATTGCAAACAAAATTCACAACAAAACCTCAGACCAAGTCATCCTCCTCTTCATGATAAATTGCTACACTAGAGGAGGAGAAAAAAAAAAAGCCCCAAACTCATTAGGTTAATGGGAAATAAATGTCATTCTGCAAGTTTACATTTTGCAACACACAGATTCAAATTTAGATAAAGCCAGTGAATAATTAACCAATAAATCTAAATGATGTTCAGTGTTGTTGTGGGAAATTCTATTCCAACCTCGATAGTCTCACCGTTTATCATAAAGCTGTTAGGGGAAGCTGTTCAATATCTGTTGACAAAGAACTCTCTAAGCACTTTTAACAAATGATCTAAATATTAGGGACAATCAAGCCACTTTACAGACAGGAAAATTGAGGCTTGGAGAGAGAATGTATGTAGCTGAAGGTTTTATAGCAAATTAATGGCAGATCTAGATTGCTTGATAACATTATGAAAAAAGATGGTTCAAAAAAGATAATTCTAGTTAGCTGAAACTTAATAATTTTTCAAGCAGCATGGTGTTAGATTTTTCTAAAAAAAAGGTTTTCAAGTAATATAGATCTTGCTTTGAATGCAGCTACACCACTGATAAGCTATTGATCTTGGGCAATGGGCTTTACCTTTTGAGCCTTACTTGTTTCATTTACATAAAGGAACAAATAGTATCTATTCCACAGACTTGCTGTGAAAATTAAAGTATGTCAGAAAAAAATTATGGACTTACCTAAAAATGTATGGGTAACTACCAAAGGAATAGAAATACGGTTTGTAGTTTTAGACCCAGCAATGGAATAAAAGGGATCATAGAAAACATTATCGATCTATCCCAAAGCAGTAAAGGGAAAAAGGAACAAGCAAAGAAAAGGAGTAATAAACCAACAAAACTATACACAAAAAAACAGAAATAATTTCAAATGCACTGATTGTTACATAAATATAAACGAATTAAATTCTCCAATGAAGAGCTGCAGATTAAAGTACTACGAGACGTTGTTAAACAGTATCCAGCTCTTTAAGGTTCACACACACACACGAAAGGTTAACAACAAAAGGATAAAAAAGAAAAAAAGATCTTGCAGGCAAACTAAAAGAAATCAAGCAAAATAAAATAAGGCAAAAGTGATTCATGGAGAAAAGAGGAACACCATAAAGGAACAACCTACAATGTGCCAAGGAAATAAAGCAATAAAATAAACTTAGATGCACTGAAAAACATAACCTCAAAATATAGAAAGAGAAAACTACTATACAGTTATAAGCGAAGTATATTTCCATTTACCATTATAATTAATCAAAGTATAGAAAAACATTCGACTCATAATAGCCATAGAAACTACAAGATTCCTAGAAATAAATCTAACAAAGAAGTTCAGGACTTCTACAGATGAAAATAAAATACATACCAGAAGGTTATTTATTTATTATAAATTATTAATTTACAATAAGAAGTAAAATATTTATGAAAGCCACAGATATATGAAGAGATATAGCATGCTTATGATTGCAATGGTTCACTATTTAAAAAAAAAAAAAACTATGTCACTGGTTCCCAACTAATTTGCAAACCAGTGCATTTGAAAATCCCATCAGGGTATGCTATGGAATCTCAATAAGAAGATTAAAGGATCACAAATAGATAAGAGAATTATAGAGATGAGCTGTTTACAAGTTATCAGACCCAGTCATTAAGACCACATGATGCAAGAACTGACAAATAAACCAATTAAACAGAATGGATTGCCCCCAAACACAGACATACATAAATAAAAATTGTAAAAAAAAATCACTCATGAAATAAAACAAAAGTGATTTATATCAGGAAAAAATAGATTCCTACCTCACACATACCAAAATAAAAGCTAGGTGGATTAAAGACTTAAAAGTGCCCAAAACTTTAGAACTTTTCAGAAATATGGTGAATTATCCTTATGAACTCGGGTAAGGAAGGAAATCTTAAAAGCATCGACAATAACCGGCTAATAATACTATTTAAAAAACACTTTATTAAGTAAAAAACATTATGTAGTTGTTGTTTAGCTGCTAACGAGTATCTGACTCTGGCGACCCTATGGACTATAGCCTGCCAGGCTCCTCTGTCCATGGGGTTCTCCAGGCAGGAATACTGGAGTAGGTTTCCATTTCCTCCTCCAAGGGATCTTCCCGACCCAGGGATAGGACCTCTATCTCCTGCATTGATGGGCACATTCTTTACCACTGAGCCCTCAGGGAAGCCTCTAAAACATTATAAGCAAAATGAAATGCTTATCCACAGAGTAGGAGCTCCTTCCAAAATATACAACCAAAAGTGGATTAGCATCTTGGATAAGGGTCATGAATAATGAATAGAAAAAAGAGGAAGACCAAACATTTTATGGGCACAATAAAGGACAGAAATGGTATGGACCTAACACAAGCAGAAGATACTAAGAAGAGGTGGCAAGAATACACAGAACTATACAAAAAAGGTCTTAATGAACCAGGTAAACACGCTGGTGTGATCACTCACCTAGAGCCAGACATCCTGGAATGTGAAGTCAAGTGGGCCTTAGGAAGCATCACTATGAACAAAGGTAGTGGAAGGGAATACCAGACCACCTGACCTGCCTCTTGAGAAATGTGTATGCAGGTCAAGAAGCAACAGCTAGAACTGGACATAGAACAACAGACTGGTTCTAAATTGGGAAAGGAGTATGTCAAGGTTGTATATCGTTACTCTGCTTATTTAACTTAAATGCAGGGTATATTACATGAAATGCTGGGCTGGATGTAGCACTAGCTGGAATCAAGATTGCCGGGAGAAATATCAATAACCTCAGACATACAAATGATACAACCCTTATGGCAGAAAGTGAAGAGGAACTAAAGAGTCTCTTGAGGAAAGTGAAGGAGGAGAGTGAAAAAACTGGCTTAAAACTCAACATTCAAAAAACAAAGACCATGGCATCTGGTCCCATCACTTCATGGCAAATACATGGGGAAACAATGGAAACAGTGAGAGACTTTATTTTCTTGGGCTCCAAACTCACTGCAGATGGTGATTACAGCCGTGAAATTAAAAGACCCTTGCTCCTTGGAAGAAAAGCTATGACCAACCTAGACAGCATATTAAAAAGCAGAGACATTATGTTGCCAACAAGGTCCTTCTAGTTAAAGCTATGACTTTTTCAGTAACCATGTATGGATGTGAGAGTTGAACCAAAAAGAAAGCTGAGCACCAAAGAATTGATGTTTTTGAACTGTGGTGTTGGAGAAGACTCCTGAGAGTCCCTTGGACTGCAAGGAGATACAACTAGTCCATCCTAAAGGAAATCAGTCCTGAAAATTAATTGGAATGACTGAGGCTGAAGCTGAAACTCCAATACTTTGGCCACTTGATTAAAAAAACTGACTCAGTGGAAAAGACTCTGATGCTGGGAAAGATTGAAGGAGGGAGGAGAAGGGGATGACAGAGGATGAGATGGTTGGATGGCATCACCGACTCAACAAAGATGAATTTGAGCATGCTCTAGGAGTTGGTGATGGACAGGGAAGTCTGGCATGCTGCAGTCCATGGGGTTGCAAAGAGTCGAACATGACTGAGTGACTGAACTGAACTGAAACACTATAAACAGGTAACTCACATAAAGAGAAAATCTTATAATAAATATGAAAAATGCAGAATTTCACTAGTAAAGAGGGATAAGCAGTACAATTTAACACTTAGTAACTGGTAAAGATTTTCAAATGTCTGACAGTGCCATGTGCTGGGGGGATGTGGGGAAGAAAGAAAAAACTGCTGATGATGGACTTCTAGTCCAGTGGTTAAGAATCCAACTGCCAATGAGAAGACTTGAGGAGAAGTCCATGCACCGCAGTGAAAAGTAGCCCCTGTTCACTGCATCTAGAGAGATGCCGTACGTAGCCAACAAAGACCCATCACAACCAAAAATTAAATACATCAACTAATTAATTTAAATATATTTATAAAAATTGCTGGTGACAACATAAACTGCCGCTATCACTTTGAGGAACAACATGGGCAACATCTGATCATTCCAAAATGGTACATTCCTCACAGCCAGCAATTCCTTCTCTAGCTTCATACCCTGGAGAAGCTCTTCACCGCTGGGAGACATGTAAATATCCACCAATAGAAAAACAGGGGTGAAAGAAAACGAACACTGTGAGGCAGTGTAAAAGGATGGATTAGGGCTACATGTGCTAGCATGGAGGACTCTCAAAAACATAGCAGAGCGGGGGACAAAATAAGGGCAGGGGGATTATGGTCCCCGACCTCAGGAAAGCAGTCCCCTGTGGGAGGGAAGGAAGAAAAGACAGACGGGTAGAGACACGGAAGACGAGGAACAGAAACCAAGGGGCCACCAACTGTTTGGGAAATGTGCTGCTTACTTAAAAAACAGCTGAACCCCATGAAGCAGAATGTTAATTTATGTGAACCCTGTCCTCCTGGTGCACAGACATCAATTACACTGTCTGTCCCACTCTCTGTGTCTCGCTGAAACACTTAGAAGTATTTAACGTGGTAAGTTATTCAAAGGCTCCAGCGTGGTGACTCACACAGAATTAGCATTTCATTCACTGAACTTATCTTCTCTCTGCATGTAAAATTTCAGACTTTAGCAATATTTATAAAAACTTTTCTTTACTGGATTAATGCCTTTGTTTTCTCAAATGGACCATGCTGGACAGAAGGTGACCTTTTCCCAGTGATTTTCTTAATATTTATTTTTATTTATTTGGCTGCACCATGCACAGAATTGTTAATTGTGGCATTCGGGCTCTTAGCTGTGGCATGTGGACTCTAGTTCCCTGGCCCCTTGCATTTGGAGCATGGCATCTTACCCACTGGACCACCAGGGAAGTCCTCTCGCAGGGATTTCTGTCATTCCAGAATCAAATACTGGGGTGTGCTTTCTTGCACGGAAGCCAAAAGGGGGCAGAGCCTCAATGGCTGTGCACTCAGTGGCCCCAGTTTGCTTGGCTGAAAATTCAGAAAACCCAGAGAAGGAAGAATATATGGTCCTCCCCTTGATGCCCTCCGCTTCCGGCTCTCACTCTCATGACGGCGGTGGCCCCGCTCTAGAATTCACTCATTTACTCAATTAAAAACAACAACAACATAGTGAGCACCTATTTGTTAGAGGCCTGGCTGACTACTGGCAGGGGACCCGCAGCTCTCTGTGAACAAGAGGAAAGACTGGGGTGGGGGTGGTGATGCTGACAGCAAGATCGTCACTAATTAAAAGACAATGAACACATTAAGCAGATACATTAAAAAAACATTCCAATGATATTTTAAAGGAAAATCATAGGAGCTGCTGGCATTTCTCTCCAATGCTGGGGCTCATGGGACAGGAGCACCGGCGGGGGAAGGAACATCCCGGGGATGGAGGAGCAGTCCCCCAGCTTTGACACCCGGCACTGGCTCTGCTCACTGCTTTCTCTACAGGGGTGCTTCTCTGTAAAGGGGGAGGCTGACTGTCCTGGAGGGACACTTGGTTGTGTCCAGAGACGCTGCTGGTTGTCATGGCCGAGGGGCGTGCTTCTGGCCTTTAGGAGGTGGAGGCCAGGGGTGCTGCTCAACAGGCTGCAACACATGAGACAGTCCCCTCGCCTCCCTCCCCCACATCGACAACAAGGAGCGATGCTGCTCCCAAAGTCAGGCCGGCAGCGCTGCCCCGAGTGCCCTGGTCTCTGGCAGGCCGGCAGTGCTGCGCCAAGTGCCCTGGTCTCCGGCGAGGGCAGCAGCCCACCAGGCTCTGCTCATCAGGAGCTCAGGGAGCCTCATCAGATCACCCAGCGCTGTGCAGACAGGAGCAGCCCAGCCCCGCTGGCCTGACTCTGTGGCCAGCAAAAGTCCGGTTCTCACGAGGGCAGCTGTGAGCACAGCGGCCGTTCAGTCACCCCACCAAAGCGAAGGCCGTCTACACGCTCACCCCGGCAGTGGCTGAAGGCAAGGCCACCGAGTCTGGCACTTGTGGCCAGACCCACTCTCTGTATTCTCAGGGGTTCTTCCAAGAACCCTGCTGTGTGAAGACCACCCCCCACTGCCCACACACACACAGAAGGTCCCCTCTGAAGCGGCGGTGAGTGAGGACAGACAGACTGGTGGAGCAGAGGACGCCTGGGAGGAGCAGGTGGAGGCCAGCTGACAGGTCTAGCCCCGGCCGGGTCCTAAGACCCCCGCTCCCCGCCGGCCTCCCCAGGAATCAGCTCTCAACCAGCTGGGGCAGGGACTGTGCTCTCCCGACTGTCCTCTGCGGCTCCTCCTACCTGGTCGCAGAGGGTTCCGATCAAGCCTTCCAGGTCCTGCTTCTCGTGGAGGGCCACCTGCTTCTCCTCGTACTCCTGCTCCAGCTGCATTTCCAGTTGGCGGAGCTGCGGGCACAGAGGGCAGACGCGGGCATGGGACACGAGCGCTCCATCTGGACAAACCCCCCAAGGCCAGGACCCTCTGGAAGATGGGGCTGGGGGTGCGGAGTGCATGGCCGCTCGCCCGGTTCCACAAAGGCTGACCTAGCAGCTTGGGCGGGGGGAGGAGGTATTTCTGCCGGAGAATTCGGAAGCCTAAGAGCTCAGGAGCTGGACTGTTATGGGGAGCCCCCTGGCATTCACTGTGAAATCCCCAGCCCCAGTCCTCTGCCCATTTCCTAACAGCTGTCTCCTTCCTCTGCCGTGGCCTCTCTAGAACAGGTACAAGTCTGGGCACGTGAACTTCTTAAGACTGTACAGCATCATATCCTACATGTTAAAATGCATTCATCTCTCGTATTAAATACACCTGTTGCTGTTTAGTCACTAGGTTGTGTCTGACTCTTTGCAACCCCATGGACTATAGCCCACCAGGCTTCTCTGTCCATGAGATTTCCCAGACAAGAATACTGGAGTGGGTTGCCATTTCCATCTCCAGTGCATGAAAGTGAAAAGTGAAAGTGAAGTCGCTCAGTCATGTCTGACTCTTCGTGACCCCATGGAATGCAGCCTGCCAGGCTCCTGCTTTCACGGGATTTTTCAGGCAAGAGTACTGGAGTGGGGTGCCATTACCTTCTCCGTTACTANGTGCAGGCAAGTGCTAGTGTCTGTCAGAGGGGAGGCACACCTTTCTCTGACCTCACTCCCCGCTTTATAAATCTGTCCATGAAGAAGCCTCAGGAGGGTCTGGGTCACGTCTCCAGCCCATCAGGGTCCTGGCTCGGGGCACTCACAACATGTTTGAGGCACCCCCTTCACCTGACGGCACGTGGGCAGGGACTGGGTTTCCACCTCCTGACCCACGGAGAGAAAAAATAAAGTCCTGATGGATGGTCATTTCAGAAGACAGTTTAAGACTTTCTTTCAAGAGTGAGAGACACAAGGCAGTCTGCTCACACCTGCTGAAAATGAAGACTGCAGAAGCTGAAACTCCTTTTGAAAAATGTACAAAATAATAAAGGCTATGTGTCAAGAGAGGCAGTTTTCTAGAGAGTATTCTGTAGAACATTTTTACATGGCAACTCTCAGCACTTTGCAATTTATAAGGCACCTACCATTCTTTGATCTTATTCTCACAATAGCATAGGGGAAGGAAATCATTTTCTCTTCTTGCTCCCATTTCACAGATGAGAAAACTGAGTCTTAGGGAAGTTAGGAGACTTACTCAAGGGCACACAGGTCTGAATGAACCTAAAATCTATGACTTTTTCAACACCAGGAAGTTCTGGGGAGAATGTACTTGGCCCCTTGGGAAGATCTATGTGAACACCCAGAGGGGCTGAACTGTAAAGGAGCCCCAAAAGGAGTATTTGGGGAGCAGGCCGGGCAGCAGATGCAGCAGCATCAACCACTGGGAGTGAAGAACAGCTCGGTTCTTACAGCCCCCCCCCCACCCCCACCACCCCGAGCAGTGACGGGGTACCGAGGCAGCCCCATCAGCCCAGACGAGAGACCCATCTCCCGCCAGGGTCCTGACACCACCACGGCCTCCTCCAGCCCTGCCCAGGATGACGCTCCTCTGGCAGGAGATGGGGAGTGCAGCGGGGGAGGAGGGGACTCTACAGGACGTCAAGTCCCTGCACCCGCCTTCTCCTGGGATGGAGCAGGCATGCCCAAGAGCAAGTCAGCCAGGGGGCTGGTTCCCAGGTGCCTCTGGGAAGGATCGGCTGTCTGGAAATCCACACACACACCAGTACTGCTTGTTAAGTTTCCAGCAAAGGATGAGGACATTACAAACTCTGAGCCATGGTTCCACACCTGTGATCTCTTGACTCTTCCCCATGACCCTGCAAGGTGGCCACTGTTATCCTATTTCACAGATGAGAGAAGTGAGGCTTATCAGCAAGGTTATGTGATTTCTCCCATGCCCCACATTTGATAGCTAACGGAGTCTGAATTCGATCCAAGCCTCTATGACTGCAAATAAACTAGCAACATCAGCTTTCCTGTGTGTCTTATAAACTGGCTCCGAGTGACCAATGGTGGATATGGAGAAAGCAGTTCAGGAAGGGCATGGAGTTTGGGTGGAGCGGAGGGTTTACGATCACCTTCCCAGGATCATACTGTTGTTGTATTGGAAAGGTAAACATTCATACCAAGAGTCGATGAGTTCCAGCACGCACGCTCTCAGCCCTGGAGTTGGAGGTCTCTGCAGAGACCTTGTTTAGGGAACTAATATCAAGAGTCGACTATGGGAAATGGTACTCGGCCCCTTCTGGGAGATGTGCAACGTACCCAGGCTGTGAAGGGACTACAGAAGTCCTGCCCAGAGAAAGCCTGTTCAGAGAGGCTTAACCCAAAGCTCCTCAGCAATCCCGTTTTAAAGATTCACCTTATAATTCACATCAGTAAGTGCATCCATAAGGAGGTTTGTCTTAGTGTGGTTATAATAACAGAAAATCAGAAAGTCCTAGATGTCCAATGACAAGAGACTTGCTTGTTGAGTAAACAAGACCACAGGCCTTTGGTGGAATACTTTCAAGCCTGTAAACATGCAAATTAGGTCCGCATGTACTGACAGGAGGGGAGGCCCAGAACAAACTTCAGAGGGAAAACAGCAGGCTTCAAAGCAGCACGACCCCATTTAGGTAAAATGGTATCTCTGTACACATGTTCGTGCAGGCACAGAGAAAGAAAGAACATTTAAAATAGTAATAATGATGATGTCTTAAGATTTCAAGCACTTGCTGCCTTCTTATACACTGCTTGAAATGTCTGCAAAGAGCTTGGATAAAAATGTAAGGGACGATTTGCAAGGCAAACAAACCAGAAGGGACTGGTCCCCTTCTTGACACATATACATCCTTATCCAGGGCATCAGCCGCATGGCACTCTGGGCTCTTGGTAGAAGTCTAGAGTGATTATGCTGGACAGTTCAGAGGCTTCTGGAAGCCCCAGAATTGTAGTTATTAGGACAGGTACTTCTGCTCCAGCACCCTCGAAAGCACTTCCTGAGGAAGCTAAGCTCATCCCAGCCCCCGAACTCCCCTTGTTCTAAAGACGAGGCACCCGGACTGGACCTGCTGGGACCCCAGGGCACAGCTGCGCTCACGGCTCACGGACCCGCTTCTGGCAGGACTGGCGGACGTCCTCCAGCTCCTCTTCCTTGTCCTCACGGTCCTTCTGATGCATCTGCTTCATCCGTTCAATCTCCAGCTCAAACCGCTGGCGGACCTGAGCGGGCAAGAACAGCGCATGAGGGTGACCCCCACCAACCACGTCACCCTTAGCATTTCAGCTGTGTTTCTGGACAGCATGGGTAAGAGTCAAGTTATCCCCCCCAGGCCGCCAGGGAGGTCAGAAATGGTAGATAAATGGCCCAAATGCTGCCTCTGTCCCTGCCATGGTCGTAACAGATGTCACTAATGAACTGGACTCTGTGCCACTGAGTTGAGACGTGACCTCAGAATCCTTCTCAACGCTCTTAAGATGAAGAGGTTTGTCATCCCAGGCATCAGGGAAATTTTTCTGGATGGGTGGCCAGGTGGGTGGATGAATGACAGAATACAAGTTTCCTTCTGAGAATAGGAAACCCTGGAGAGGGAGGTGACACGCCCAAGATGTAACCTTTGATTAGTTACGTTTCTCTGTAGAAAACAGCCTCCTTAAAATACACTGGTGAGAATCAGCACAATGCTTGGCACAGAAAGGTTCCTTTTTCTTTCCCCATTATTTTTCAAACAGAGTAAGGACTAGCCCCTCTCTACCTGGAAGCCTGACATTACTAAGAAATGTGTTCCCATGAAAGAGAAGGGTCTTTTCAGGGAAACCCTCCAAAACCTGCTCTGTGATGTTTAAACTGTGCCGTCTTATGTACAAGAGTCTAGAACTGGAAGCACCATCATGGGAGTCAATTATAGTTTAAGAGTTTATTTCCTTTTTCTTTTTTAAAAATTACAATCAAGCTAACAGTGTATGGAAATGTTTGAAGTAACACTTGCCGCGCAGCAAGCAGGATCTTAGTTCCCCAACCAGGGATGGAACCTGCAGCCCCTGCATTGGAAGCATAGAGTCTTAACCCCCGGAGCACCAGAAAACTCCCAAGAGTTTACTGTCTTGATTTTCATAACTGAGAGACTGACTCAAGCTCTTGCCTGTCAAGTTTTGTGGCATATTAGAATTACCTGGTGCCCTTCTATTTTTTTTTTTTAATTCAGTTCCAAGGCTTCACTCTAGACTTCGTGGGTCAGAACCTCCAGGCTACAGACCCCAAGAGCCTGTACTGGTAAGCTTTCAATGATCTGCACTCTTCCTCGCTGCGAGTCACGGAGCAGCATGGAACCTAGCACAGCAGAGGGCCAGACTGCAGGAGCAATCAGGTCCTGACCGTCTGCCCCGCACTGCCCTGCACCTCGCAGAAAGCTTTCACGAGGCCACAACTGCCTCCCCTGACATGGACATTCAGGCGAGAAAAAACAACGGTGGTCTTTTCCAATGCTGATAATACTCTCCATGATGCAGGACCATAGTGGAGAGGAAAAAGAACTGAAAGCATCAGAGCCCCGTTAAGAATTCCCGGCAGAAAGCAGGCTCACTTTAAATGCCAACTTCCTTCCCTGCTGCCTTTAAAATGACAAGAGGTTATGAGGAGGTAATCCAAAATGAGGAGCTTAAGCAAGTAAATATAATATTCCTTTTTCATTTTTTTTCTAGCCTCTTGGATACTCCTGACATCTGCAATACCATTTATGTCAAGCTTATGTGAGTTAACATAAAATTTCCTGGAAAAAGTGTTATGTTGTAATCAATAAATATCTCCTGGATGTCTACAATAACCCAGAGCAGTACAAGGTGATGGGTGAGGCTGAAGATGAATGAGAAGATGAATGAGGGCTTGAGTCAGCCTCCTGGGTAAGCTGGGAGGGGAGGGGGGCTGGGCAGCTGCATTCAGCTCCCTGGGTCCTTGAGGTCAAGGCAGCATATTTCTGCTTCCCAAGCACATAATGGTCCCCTGGTGGCATCTCCCAGAGTTAACTCAACTTTCCAAAGTGCTTGTTTTATTTTTTTAAAGAGTGCTTTCTAAAAAACGTATTTATTTATTTTTGCTTATTTGGCTGTGCTGTGTCTTAGTTGCAGGATGTGGGATCTAGCTCCCTGACCAGGGGCTGAACCTGGGCCCTCCACATTGGGAGCGAGAGTCTTGACCGCTGAACCACCAAGGGAGTCCCACTCTCTTTATTCTTGACTCTGGGCTGCTGTGTAACACTGTTCCATCCTCTCCATCCCTGAACGACCTGCCCAGATGGCCCACCTCCATCACGAACCTTCACAGATTCACAGCTGGGGTTGGAGGGAGGCTGGGGGTGGACAAGACTCTGACTTCATTGTACAGTTGAGGAGACTGGAGTCTAGAGAGAACAGAGGGCTCGCCAAATGTCCACAGACCCCATCTGCATGGGACCATCTTGCAGCTCCTTAGATGCCATATGACATGCCATGTGACACCCCTGCCTCTATGCCTTTGCATGGGCTGTTCCCCTACCTGGAACCCTCCTGGTCAGCCAACTCAGACTCGTCCTTCCGCTTTCAGCGTCAGTAAATGTTACTTCCTCCAGGAAGCCTTCCCTGAGTACTCCAAATCTGGTCCCCAAACCAGACCTGCAGGTTACACCTTCCCATAATACTCAACATGACTCTAACTTTCAGGAGGGTGGACACCACATCATTTTGTTTACAGTTACACTCCTAGCATCTGTCCAGTGCTTGACACACAGAAGGTGCTTAATAAACACGGGTTTGACAGACTGACCAAAGAAGCTCTGTTTTTCTCAACCTCTCCAGACTGTCCCCACACTTGCCACACCCAAGTCTCAGTGCTCAGCAGATTCCATCCAGGTGGAGCAGGGATGAGTGAGAAGTAAGGCCAGCAACCGGGCCTATCCCCAACCACCCCCACTCCCCCACCCGCCTTCACCAGAGCAGCTCAGAGTTTATCTGTTTTATGTATTCATGCTGGCTGGTCAGATATTCTTGAAAAAGGAGTTCCAATCGTAAAACCATTTCAAAATAATTACCCCTTCTGAAGTCCCATGTGAGAAACTGCTTTAGAACTAAGCATCAAGAGAAGCCTTGCTTCTCCTTGAAAACTTGGCTTATTTTTATCTTGGGGATGATAAAAAGCATGTAAGTCACACTGCCCTTTTCTCTCTGGCCACCAGGAATTTGAAAGCTAAAACTACTGAGTGTGTTTATGTTCTGCGTGTCTGCATATTAATTCACTCTTCCTTAGCACTGGTTTTAATTTGTGTTTTTCTAGTTTGGCTTGTTTTATTTCTTTTTCTATTTTACCACACATCCATCTTATAAGATCCCTTGACTTCTCTGTGGAATGACTGGGGCATATAAACAAACAAGCAGACAAACAGAACATTCATCAGGTGCTTCATTGAGGGGGCTGGCACCAGAGTCTCAGGGTATGTGTGTGTTCGTCGTTCAGCTGTGTCCGACTCTTCCGTGGCCTGCCAGGCTCCTCTGTCCGTGGAATTCTCCAGGCAAGAATACTGGAGTGGGAAGCCATTCCCTTCTCCATGGAATCTGCAGTCCTGCCTTATTCCACTTACTCTGCATTTTCCAAAAATCAGGCCTCCCACCTCCCTGGAGGCTGTGCACAACACAGGTGTGTGAGGCACTGCGGCATCAGAGGGCACAGGCTCCAAATCCCGTCTCTGCCACTTTTTCTATTTCTGAGCTTCGGCTTCCACATCTGTAGAGTGGAGGAAAACTCAGCATATAGATTTCATGTGGAGATTCATGAGATGATATGTGAGGAGAGCTTAGGACTGAGTCTGGTACCCAGACAGTGCTGAATACCAGAGTTAGGGTCAACAGTTATTTAATGAGTACCAGCTATGTACCTGGCCTCATCAGGGGAAGCCCTAATAAGCAAGGTCAACCAAAAAGTCCTCCTGCCTCCATAAAACACATATCCTAATGGGGAGAAAAGCGTTGAGAATGTAAGTCACACTGCCCTTTTCTCTCTGGCCACCAGGAATTTGAAAGCTAAAACTACTGAGTGTGTTTATGTTCTGCGTGTCTGCATATTAATTCACTCTTCCTTAGCACTGGTTTTAATTTGTGTTTTTCTAGTTTGGCTTGTTTTATTTCTTTTTCTATTTTACCACACATCCATCTTATAAGATCCCTTGACTTCTCTGTGGAATGACTGGGGCATATAAACAAACAAGCAGACAAACAGAACATTCATCAGGTGCTTCATTGAGGGGGCTGGCACCAGAGTCTCAGGGTATGTGTGTGTTCGTCGTTCAGCTGTGTCCGACTCTTCCGTGGCCTGCCAGGCTCCTCTGTCCGTGGAATTCTCCAAGCAAGAATACTGGAGTGGGAAGCCATTCCCTTCTCCATGGAATCTGCAGTCCTGCCTTATTCCACTTACTCTGCATTTTCCAAAAATCAGGGCTCCCACCTCCCTGGAAGCTGTGCACAACACAGGTGTGTGAGGCACTGCGGCATCAGAGGGCACAGGCTCCAAATCCCGTCCCTGCCACTTTTTCTATTTCTGAGCTTCGGCTTCCACATCTGTAGAGTGGAGGAAAACTCAGCATATAGATTTCATGTGGAGATTCATGAGATGATATGTGAGGAGAGCTTAGGACTGAGTCTGGTACCCAGACAGTGCTGAATACCAGAGTTAGGGTCAACAGTTATTTAATGAGTACCAGCTATGTACCTGGCCTCATCAGGGGAAGCCCTAATAAGCAAGGTCAACCAAAAAGTCCTCCTGCCTCCATAAAACACATATCCTAATGGGGAGAAAAGCGTTGAGCACATTTTGGAAAACACTGTTGCACATGATGGTAGGTGCTGTGAAGGTGAGAGAAAGTGAATGTGGAGTTGGGGTGGGACTGTTTTTGAGAAGGAGATAAGGGTGAGCTTCTTGGAGGAGGTGACGATGACGCTTGCAGGATGGTAGGAGGGGGGCTCCATGAGGGGTCTGAGTGTCAGGCCTAAGGGTTCTGAGGTTCTCTGGGGTAATAGGGATCCACAGAAGAATGAGGAGCAGCTGAGTGAGGTGGTGAATTTAATCACAACCTTCCAGCCCCTCTGGGGCAGGGCATCGCTCTGGACAGGACTTTCCCACCTGCTCCAGCTGCTTGATGGTGTTTTCTTGCTGGTTCTGGACTTTCTCGTGCTCGAGGGCGCTGGATTCCAGCTTCCAGAGTCTCTCCTTCAAGCCTGCAATGCAGTTCTCCCCCAGAGAGGGTGACCTCAGCAGCTCCTGCTTCTGGGCCTGCAGCATCTCCACCTCCTGCTTCAGCTGCAAGCTTTCCTGCTCCTTTTGCTGTGGAGACAAAGTGGGCAGGGATCCAGGGTCACGTGACCACACTCCCCACCCCTCCCCCACCCCGAGGACACCTCTAAAACCGGTGGGAGGGTGCTTTCCACTTTTAGAGCCGCCCCTGCCACCTGGGCCTTGCAGCCCCTCACTGTGCCCCCTGTGGGACCCCAAGGGCCCTCCTGGGACAGCTCAGACAGGCACGGGTGGGGAGTCGGTGGGAAGCAACACCCCGGCTCTAGAGCTATACCTCAAAGTGCAAACAGGAGGTATTTTACCCATCTGAAAGCTGTGCATCTGCCGAGGCTGGGCCGGAGATGTTGGAGCCAGGAAGCAAAGTGGCCAGAAACGACTCTTTCAGGTTAGAAGGTCGGAAGTCTGGGCGTGACCATTAACGGGCTGCATGCCAGGCTCAGAGGCTCTCCCAGGGTAACGGGGAGCCACAGCAGGCTGAGGAGCAGCTGAGTGAGGTGAGGTGCCTGTGTCCCATTTAAATAAAATCCCTCTGAGCTGCAGCCTGCAAGGGGCAGGCCCTGCCCCTACCTGGGTCTACAGCTAACTCCGCTGTGCCAGATGGGCACCCAGGTGGGCACCTCGGAACTCAGGCAGGTGCCTGGAGCAAGATCGTGAGGGACATGGAGCTAGCAAGGCCTGCTTATCCACCACCTGCCACCCACGATTTGCTGATGCAGGCACGCTGGGCTCCGTGACTCTGGCGGGCTGGCAGAGCAGGACAGTCACACACGGAGCTCTCTCCCCGGCACCACGTGCAGTGGGGGTGCGCGAGGGGTTTCCTGAGACCCAGCGACGGACAGCCCGGTGGCACTGCGCCCCCACCCTCACCTCCAGGAGCTGCTGAAGCCTGCCCAGCTCACACCGGGTGCTGCTGTTCTCCTGGGCCACTTTCTCGCGGAGGCCCTTCTCAAACACGCACTCCCCCAGGGCCTGGGCCAGCTGCGCGTCAAACCTGTCCAAGCAGAACACGGGTCACGGCACCTGGGGGTGGGGGGTGTGCCTGGGGCAGGGCAGGGGTGGGACTGGAGAGAGGCCATTAGCTTGTCGAGAACCGCTAGAGACAGACAGACAGTATCAGATGATGGAGGGCTTGTGGATATGGGGTAGGAATACAGAACACCAGAGGGCGACTTTGAGGGTTTCTGGTTTCCAGAAAAATACCAAATGCTTATTTAAAATATGATAAAAAAAAATAAGCAAAATTAAAAATAGAACAAAACTATATAAATAGAGTATAAGAACAAAAAAACTAGATATATAGGAAAAGCTAATCTATCAGGTTTGCCAACATATGTCAGACCTTGAACTCTACAGGGCCCAGGCTGGTGTTTAATATTTGTTGATCAGTGAATGAATGTGTTTACCAGCACAAACAAGGGACAATCAGTATTCCATGTTGTACAGGGTACTTGGGGCTCACGTGCGCATCAGCCGTTTCAGAGCATGGTTATTACTGACAGAACGTGAGACAGTTTTCCATTCCATCATGTCCACATTTGGTTCCTAAGCAGAAACCACAGGGACCAGACGGCCCTGCGGGCGCCGTCAAAAAATCAGGAAACACCTCATCTGGAGCCCACCTGCCCCTCCACGATGGTGAGCGCTGGGCGAGAGGCGCTTCCTGGACTGGGCGTCATTTCACACGGCTCTTTCAGCTTCTGTCCCTCTCACAGGTGAGGAAACCTGCAGAAGGCTCTGCCAAGCCTCAGGAAGATGGGACTTTGGTCAGTAAGATGTGGCTTTGGCCACCTGCTCCAGGGAACTGGGTGTGGCCAGAGTGGCTGAGCTGGGAGCGAGGTTTCAGCCTTGGTGAGAAGAAGGTCTCCCTTGTTACAAGATCATCCAACGTCCCTCAACGGCAGATGGTCAGTCAAAGCCTCAAGACTGCAAAGACAGTCAACTGCGGGTCACATGAGGGAGCCTCTGCTGTCGGAAAGGCCCAGGGGCTTTCCGATTGGCTCCTGGTGACGTCATCCGAGAGCTGCTATTGGCTGCCTCTGAATGGTAACACTGTGATGATGGTAACGGTCCACAGTTTCAAAGCGCCTGCTCTGAGCTGGGCTCCATGCAGTCCTCCTAGCAATTCAGCAGGAAACACATCATAGCCATTTTTCAGAAGAGAAGACTGCAGTTCAGAGGTCCCTGAAGCGGGTCTGAGCCAGCCTCTCTGCTGACTAAGGAGGTCCGCCAGCCACCTGCTTGGGGGCTGCAGCAAGCAGGGGACGACAGTGGAGGCCAGACAGTGACGGACGTCTTCAAGGAGTCCTTCTGGGCCACCGGATGCCAGGGAATGCCTCCAACAGACCCTAACTCTTGGAACACACTGTCTGACCAACTGTCTGAGGCCAGAGGAACTCACTCACAGCCTTCACCCCTCTAGGAGCGGGCCAGGGGTCCAGCCTCCCACTGCTCCAGCACAGGCCTTACCCCGAGGGCAGCTCCATCGGCCCTCGGAACTGAGCTTTGTGACCCGTGAGTAACCGTGGCAACCGGGCCACTCTGAACTGAGAGGCCAAGGTAGGGGCAGGGAACCTCAACAGCATGGAGACATCCCTCCACCCAGAGCCCAGCCAACTACGGAGGCGCTGCATCGACCCTTTGATTAAACATGAAGAGGTGTGAGGAAGTATGGCTAACTTCTCCATCTCTCCCTCACTACAGGCATGCTACCTGAATTTCCACCATGAGAGACTTCTACCTGCTCATGGGCTGCCAGCTAAAATGCTAATCCACCTAGAAAGGTAATGGCTGCTATTTGCAATTAGCATCAAAACATAAGCTAACTTCTGCCAAGAGATGAGCAGGGAGTAGAGGAGTCCTTCTGCATCACAGGGTAGGTGAGCTTTAAGAAGAGATGCAAGTACGGTGAAATGGGAACTCTCCAGGGGCCATTATCTGGAATGAAGGATTCTGTGCAAGGTGGGTGGTCACGGCAAACACCAGAGATGGACTTTTCTGGCTGCATAAACTCCAAGGGCAGAGCCCCCCTGCCACTCATCAGGAAGCTAAAATCCTCCCAAGGGCTCTCAGAACAGGATAGAACCCACAGATAAGGGCCAGGATTGTCACAGCCGGCAGAAACCTTCACCATGATGGAGTTCCAACTCTCAATTTACAGACGGCATCTGTCGGAGCCAGTCTTTAGCACCAGGTGGTCTGCTTAAGTTCGAGGACAGCTCTAAAACATCAGTCACTGTCTGGCTCAGAGAGGTAGTGTTACCTGACAAGGTCACAGAGGAAACGATCGAGGTGGGACTAAGCCATTTTCCCTGCTGCAAGGACAGGTGTAGCCAGAGCATGCATGGGAAGGTGGAAAAGGAAACAGGAGTCAGCTACGAGCCAGAAAAGAACAAACTTCTCTCATCTGGGGAGGCATACTAATAACCCCCCAAAGAAATTTTTTTTTTTAATGAAGAAGCCAGTTCAGGAAAGCTCAAAGATAAATGAGAGAAACAATATTTAATGCAGATCAAATTCAAAACCAGTACCACTCCCATGAAAATGCAATTCGGCNAACGTCCTAGTTTAGATCTGGGAGAGAGGGCGACTTGGCACACTCACTTTGAAGAAATGGGCTCATTAAAGAATTGCTTTAAATAAGCAAAACACCGAGTTAATGAAGCCTGTAATTCTAAATTCAGTATTTGAAGGCAAATGGGATGTTTTCTTATATTCCGCTGCTCAGAAAAAGGTTGCAGTTTTATTACTTTTTAATGTAGCATGAATATCCCTCCTTCCTTGGGGAGGCTGACCCAACTTGATGATTTGTTATGAAAGAACAGGGCTGTTCCTGGGCGGCTGTCCCTTGGCTGGTTATCTACAGCCTGGTTGTCTCCTGAGGATCACGATACAACGTCCACCTTGAAAGTGACCGCTAAAACCATCACCAGGGAGCCTCACATCCGCTGTTTATAAAATCCCACGAGATCTCACCCTGGCCCACTTCCGCAGGATGACTTCATGATACTTTTTGCTCACAGTGAGGAGATACATAAATAATAATGGGCCAGGAAATACGACCTCAACTTTTACGGTGCTTACCTCTACTGGGGGACACCAAGAAGTAAGCAGATAATAACAATACAGCATAATGAGGCTTATATCTAGGGAAATAAATCACGGGCAACCCCCCCCCCCCAATCTGTGTCAGGGAAGACTTCCTGGGGGGGAGAATATTTAAGCTTACATTGTAATGTTTGCTGGAGATATTTAGGTAGGGAAGAGAGTGTTCAAGGAAAAGGAGAGAACATATGCAGAGAGGTAAGAAAGAATAAGCCTTCCTTGAAGGAGGGGGAAAAAAAACAGCACAATGGAACAGAATAGAGTCCAGAAACAGACCCACAGAAATACCGTTGGTCGATCCTTTCTAAAGGGGAAAATGCTATATAGTGAGGGCTTTTTGACAAGTGTTGCTGAAACAACTGGTTATTTACAAGCAAAAAAAAAAAATTAGACACAGATTTTACACAAAAATTAACTCAAAATGGATCACAGATGTAAATACAAAATGCAAAACTATAAACCTCCTAGAAGATAACATAGTAGAAAACCTTGATGACCTTGGATTTGGCAATGACTTTTTAGATATAAGACCAGAGGCATGGCCCATGAAAGAGAGAATTTATAAGCTGGATTTTATTAAAACTAAACATTTCCACTCTGCAAAAGACACAGTCAAAAGAATGAAAAATGACAGGAAGAAAACATTTGCAAAAGATATACTTGATAAAGAAATTATCCAAAATATACAAGAAAATCAGAAAACAAACAACTCAACTAGAAAACAAGCTAGACCTTGACAGACACTGTGACAAAGAGGAGACCTACTGCCCACATCCCACAGCAACCTGCGTGTGTGACGTCAGTGGAGGTGGAAACACGTGAAACAGGTGATGCCCTCTCTCCCTTTTGGGTTCAGTCAACACCTCGAAGAGGGAGGTGAGACCTTGCCCTATTTCTGTGACCTTGATGACCCAGACTATCTTCCCCCTTTACCTTCTGCTCCAGCTCATTCCTAGATGCCAGCTCCGACTCCAGTCTCTCCTCCGACTGTTGGAGACGCTTCCTGAGGAACTCGTTCTCCATCTGAGCACAGTCAAAGCGCATCTGCCACTCATCTGCTGTTTAAGAGAGTCAGAGAGACCCGTTAGGACACTCGGTGAACAGGGTAGTTCCCTCCCATCCTTAGCTCTTTGTGCACAATTTCACAGTGTTAACAGAATTCCTGATGTTCAACCCCAGGCGTAGGATCTGGAAATCCCACATTAAGTCCAAGCTTAACACCACTTCCTCCAGGCATCCTTCCTTGACTACCTCCAGGTGTTGGACATTACTTACCACTCACTGTTTTAAGCTTGGTCATTTACAGTGCTCAATTTCCCTACATGTGTGCATATACATTCACCCTATGGGAATTCCATAATGTTTGAGGGTAGAGGAGCTGTTTTATACATTTGTGGGTTCTCCACACCCTCAGAAGGGTCCCCTACACATGGAAGTTTCCCCTGTGTGGTAAAACAAGTTTACCAGCTGGCCATCTCCATTGGGTGACAGGGTACATCACCAGTGATGGTTGAATTAATTAACAAGTCAATGAGCAATAATTAAAGTGCCTACTATGTGAAGAGCAACAGAGATACTGGTCACAGCACGTCTCTGTGTAATAACTGAACAATCCCTTGATTTGGTAAAATTCTCAAAAAAAAAAGTCATTTGCTGGTAGAGATGAAAACTCACTGAATAGAACAGGCACACTAGGTTGTGATAGCTTATTTTCTGACTGAATAAAAGAGTAACATTTAAGGTAATAGAGACATGGAAAACATTGTACAAATGGACAGTTTAAGATACAGACCATCCATCCATCATCCATCCAAACATCACCCATCCATTCATCCATCCATCCATCCATCCTCCCAACATCCATCCTTCCATCATCCATCTATCCATCATCCACCCACCATCCATCCATCTCCCATCCACCCATCACCCATCCATCTACCCACCTATCATCCATCCATCATCCATTCATCCACCCAACATCCCTCTATCCATCATCCACCCATCATCTATCCATCCATCCACCTATCCATCATCTATCCATCCATCCATCATCCATCCATCCATCCATCATCCATTTTTCCATCTACCTTCCATCCAACCAAATACTCACACTACTCCATACCAGGCACAAGAGATCATGAATAAGAAACCATTCTATCTTCCAGAAGAATTCACTTGTGGAGACAAACGTGTAAAGTCAGCTTAAACGAAGCATGACCAGGACTCTTATAAAGGAACTTAAGGAAGTTCAGAAAAGGATTCAAACTCATGAGGGAAGCAAACTCTGTTTTGTTCACGACTGTATCCACATCCACAGGACTTACTATAATGCCTAGTATATCAATAAATGCTCCATAACTTTCACTGCAGAGGTGGCTGGGTGAGTGAATGGATGGATGGACAGATGGATGGCAGGACTGAGGTCTTGTCGGGGGTGATTCTCACATAACTAACCCAAACAGAAGGATGATATAACTGTAAAAAGTTAAAGCTTCTTCAAATTTCCATCAGGGTAAATGATAACATGGTAGGAAAGGAATCTTATGTCTCCACCAGGAAAAAAACAATCTCAATTGGCAAATGGCACAGCTTCAAAAAAAGCGCATCTGCCACTCATCTGCTGTTTAAGAGAGTCAGAGAGACCCGTTAGGACACTCGGTGAACAGGGTAGTTCCCTCCCATCCTTAGCTCTTTGTGCACAATTTCACAGTGTTAACAGAATTCCTGATGTTCAACCCCAGGCGTAGGATCTGGAAATCCCACATTAAGTCCAAGCTTAACACCACTTCCTCCAGGCATCCTTCCTTGACTACCTCCAGGTGTTGGACATTACTTACCACTCACTGTTTTAAGCTTGGTCATTTACAGTGCTCAATTTCCCTACATGTGTGCATATACATTCACCCTATGGGAATTCCATAATGTTTGAGGGTAGAGGAGCTGTTTTATACATTTGTGGGTTCTCCACACCCTCAGAAGGGTCCCCTACACATGGAAGTTTCCCCTGTGTGGTAAAACAAGTTTACCAGCTGGCCATCTCCATTGGGTGACAGGGTACATCACCAGTGATGGTTGAATTAATTAACAAGTCAATGAGCAATAATTAAAGTGCCTACTATGTGAAGAGCAACAGAGATACTGGTCACAGCACGTCTCTGTGTAATAACTGAACAATCCCTTGATTTGGTAAAATTCTCAAAAAAAAAAGTCATTTGCTGGTAGAGATGAAAACTCACTGAATAGAACAGGCACACTAGGTTGTGATAGCTTATTTTCTGACTGAATAAAAGAGTAACATTTAAGGTAATAGAGACATGGAAAACATTGTACAAATGGACAGTTTAAGATACAGACCATCCATCCATCATCCATCCAAACATCACCCATCCATTCATCCATCCATCCATCCATCCTCCCAACATCCATCCTTCCATCATCCATCTATCCATCATCCACCCACCATCCATCCATCTCCCATCCACCCATCACCCATCCATCTACCCACCTATCATCCATCCATCATCCATTCATCCACCCAACATCCCTCTATCCATCATCCACCCATCATCTATCCATCCATCCACCTATCCATCATCTATCCATCCATCCATCATCCATCCATCCATCCATCATCCATTTTTCCATCTACCTTCCATCCAACCAAATACTCACACTACTCCATACCAGGCACAAGAGATCATGAATAAGAAACCATTCTATCTTCCAGAAGAATTCACTTGTGGAGACAAACGTGTAAAGTCAGCTTAAACGAAGCATGACCAGGACTCTTATAAAGGAACTTAAGGAAGTTCAGAAGAGGATTCAAACTCATGAGGGAAGCAAACTCTGTTTTGTTCACGACTGTATCCACATCCACAGGACTTACCATAATGCCTAGTATATCAATAAATGCTCCATAACTTTCACTGCAGAGGTGGCTGGGTGAGTGAATGGATGGATGGACAGATGGATGGCAGGACTGAGGTCTTGTCGGGGGTGATTCTCACATAACTAACCCAAACAGAAGGATGATATAACTGTAAAAAGTTAAAGCTTCTTCAAATTTCCATCAGGGTAAATGATAACATGGTAGGAAAGGAATCTTATGTCTCCACCAGGAAAAAAACAATCTCAATTGGCAAATGGCACAGCTTCAAAAGGGAAAGGGCAGCAGAAAGGATTTCTGGGGTGGCCCGTGCGCTCTGCGCTCCAGAGAGGGGTGTGGGTGCCACAGACAGCTGAGGACCTGCCCCACTCCTCCAGGCCGAGTTCCGCCTCCAGCCTCCTTCCCCGTGGGCGCCATTCTTCACATACACATCAGGGAGCCCTCCATTTTCCAGTACCATTTTCCTGGGCTTCCCTGACCTCCCACTGACATTGCAAGTTTCTGGACAGCAAGGCCCAACTAAAATTCTTCTACAACCCTCGCCCCAGAGTCCAGCTCAGTGCTGATTACATTCCATGAAAGGTTCTCTTTAAAGATTTCACCATGCATAGTGAGAAAACATATATATTTTCAATAATTTCTACTCCAGCTTGATCCATAGGGGAGGTTATGGCGGCACTGCAGTGGTGTGATTAAAGTGTTTTATTGCTTCTTTCAACTTTCCTATGTCTTAGACATTTTCTATAATGAGTATGTACTACTTTGATAATCAAAAACAAAATATTTGTGGATTGGCTTCCTGGAATAAGTGTCCTGAGCTGAAAGCCTGCGCAGCACTGTGACTAATGTGCTCCTGAGCTCAGCGCATTTCCCCCTCGGCCGACTCCCGTATCTCTGCACAGGAAGACAAATGGCCGGGGAGCATCGTTCAGACATAAATCACCATCAGGATGGAACCGGGGCTGATGTTCTTCTGGGGAACCTGTGCCGGTTCTGGGAAAACAGGTTCCCTTCCATCTGAGTGGGCCCCACCTTGTTGGGGCTCGGGTACCCGAGAGTCTCAGCCTCCTCAGGATGAACCTCCCTGGCAAACGCCTGCCCTGCGGGTAGCTGGGATGAGGGGATGACAGGAGTGGAGTAGGAAGCCAACGTGCCTTCCCCTCCTCCACCACCTCCTGACCTCGGCCCCTCTGAGTGTCCCTGACGTTTCTAGGGCATCGATTCTCTGGGGGCACTAGAAGAATGATGTCTACATTTTATAAAGGCTGACAGACATGCCGGGAACCCTCCTCAGCTGACTAGTTCCGACTGGGGAGAGGAGATGATAAGGATGCCTCCTGCCCATCCAGCCGTGAGATGTGTCTCCAGGCGACCAAGACGGGCACCACCAGGAATCCCTGGCCCCACTGAGCACATCTCTCACTGGGCAGTTCACTCTAACTGCTAACCAAGTGCCTGACATCACTTTCAAATAGGGCCAGGAGTAGTCCCTGCTCCACAGGTGATGAGCAGGAATAAGGGTACCACTATTAGTGCTACTAGAAATAATAATAAAGTGAGCAACAGCTATTCAGCATTCTGTACCATACATGTGGCTAAACACCTTCCATTTATCATCTCTGTCTACAGCCGTATGAAAGATGAGGAAACCAAGGCGCGATAATTTCTTTGACCAAAGTAACAGAGTCTAGATTCAAATTCAGAAATGTGATTTTATAGCTTTCACTTCTTAACCACTGAACTGAGTTCCTCAAAACTTATATTGTTGTTCAGTTGCTCAGTCGTGTCTGACTCTCTGTGACCCCATGGACTGCAACACACCAGGCTTCCCTGTCCTTCACCATCTCCTGGAGTTCGCTCGAACTCATGTCCATTGAGTTGGTGATGCCATCCAATCATCTCAACCTCTGTCGCACCATTCTCCTGCTTTCAATCTTTCCCAGCATCAGGATCTCTTCCAATAACCCTTGCTCACTGGAATTTAATAAAAATTTATATTATGAAGGTCAAAGTCTTGTATCATGTCCAACTCTTTGCGACTGCATGGACTATACAGTCCATGGAATTCTCCAGGCCAGAATACTGGAGTGGGTAGCTTTCCCTTCTCCAGGGAACCTCTCTAAGCCAAGGATTGAACCCAGGTCTCCTGCATTGCAGGCAGATTCTATACCAACTGATCTATCAGGAAAGCCCAAAAATTTATATTAAAATAACTCATAAAAAAGATTCTTAAATATAAGGGTGCCTTGCCCATCTACAGGGGATGACAGAGGATGAGATGGTTGGACAGCACCACCAACTTGATGGACATGAGTCTGAGCAAGCTGCAGGAGATGGAGAAGGACAGGGAAGCTTGACGTGTTGCAGTCCATGGAGTCTCAAAGAGTCGGACACGACTGAGAGACTGAACTGAACTACCCATCTATAGAACCACTATTTTTTAAATCATTCTTTGCATTATTAATAAGCAGCACCTGTCACATTGGTAATTTATTACCTTAGATATTGTTGGGTTATCTGTTTAATGCCTGCCTCTTCCACTGGACTGTACACCTGAGAAGGCAAGATCTGTTCCTGTTTTCTCTGACAACGTCTCAGCCCCTAATGCAGCATCTAGAGCATTTTAAGTGCTCCATATGTGTGAATGAATGAATGAATGAAAAAAAGGAGAGCTTTTCCCACCAGTGTCTGACTCCGTGGTTCCCAAGGACTCACCTCCTCCAGTGTGACTCCTCTCTAAATCATTCAACTGAATTTTCTGCTGGGCTTCCTCCAACCGCTTCTCCACTTCTCCCAGATTCTTCTGGACTTGCTCAAACTTGCTCTGGAAGAGAAGCCTCTAGGTTTCAAACTGGACCTAAGACAGTGGCCATCTCACCCAAGGTGCTTTCAAACCAGGACTGGCCCCTATCCCCACCCCCACCCCCACAATCCTCACCCAGGACACCTCCAAGGCCAAGACTTAAGAAGACTCGGATGTCCTCCAGGATTCCCAGCATGGGAGTCAGTGAGCCTGTGCACCCCAGATCTGAGCAGAGAAGGGCAGGCCCGAGCCTCCCGGCCACTCTTCTCGGGCACTCGCATCCCCAGCGTTCCCGACCACTCGCCTTTAGCTCCTGGACCTCCCGAGAGGCCCGCAGCCGCTCTGCCCGCTCACTCTCCAGCACCTGGCAGGCCACGTCCCCTTTGAAGCACTCATCGGCCAGCTCTGTGGTCAGCTCAGCGATCTGGAGGGGGAGGGTTAAGGCAGAGTTACTCTTCAGGGCTGCCAACCCTTCTCCCCCCGTCCATGCTCCATGGGACCATCCTCACACTGATACTAGGTCTTATCGCAAGGCAGCCCTGCAGCGTAATAAGGTGGTTGACAGCACAGGTGTCGGATGTTACTGGTCCTGGGGGTTAGAATTCCTGGCCCAGCACTCACTCTCTGTGTGGCTCTGAGCCACACAGGATGCCTCTTTGATGCTCAGTTATCTCCACTTCAGTAAGGAAGGGGACAGCAAAGAGAATTGTTTTGAGAATTAAGTGTGATAATCCACACAGAGCTTAGCACAGTGCCAAGCACATAGTAAATGCTCAATGAAAAAACAATTATTCGAGTAGAAACTCTCCTTAGCTATCCTTCAGGAAGTCATTTCACTTGACCAAACAACAAGCTTCCTTGGTAAGACACACACTCACAGATGCCCACTCTCCATGGATGCTCTCGGCCAGGAAACCTCTCGATGGTTCCCCGGGGCCCGCCTGCCTCTACCAGGTTTCAGCCATGTGGTCACGCTGTGTGTGCTCCCAACCTGTTTATGCCTCACACACTTTTATGCAATTACCTATTCTATTAGCTACTACATAAACCTGTAAGATGTGACCGGGCCAAGAGTTCCCAGGAAAACTAGGCTGAATGCTTTGGAGGCAATGAATACAAGTGAGTTGCTTCTTAATATTGTGTCATATAGGTTTAAGTGCAAAAACTATAAAGAAAAAACTCCAAGTACAAAGTGTAGGCTTCTGCATTCGAATTCCTTTGCCATCTACTCTGCTTTAAAGAAATCGAAACTGGAAATCATGTAGTTGTGTGTGAGTGGTGTGGTTTAAAGAAGAAGTAGATCTTGAGTTTTTGGTCCCACCTCAGTGAGTTGAGGCAGACATGTTTTAGGTTAAAACTAAAAAATGTTTATTTTTTAAATGAATTCCACTTGAAGTGGCTTTTTTTCCCCCCAAATAAATGGGAAACACCAAGTGAGTCAGTGCTTTTGTGGTCTTATTGTTTCAAATACAGCCTTCTGGGTTCAAGGATATGCCAAGTGGAGTGAGAAAAAAAAAACATACAAGTGGACAGTTCATGACCAAGAAGCGCAGAAATGACGCCACACAGCAGAGTCTCATGAAACTGGGGCTATGCTTGTGTGAGGCAGTGGTTAAAGTCCAGATGGAGGGGAGAAAAGAAAAAAACAAGAGGCAAGGTGCAGGGTCAAGTTCAGACACAACAACTCACGCACTGTGTGACCTGGGACGAGCTTCTTCCTCTCTGGGGCTGTGGTCACCCGAGCTACAAAATGCTCTGAATTAGGTGATGTCTCCTGTCCTCCTGGCCATCCCAGGAATCTGAATTTCAATACAGTCCGGGGTGATTCTTCAGCACAGTAAAATTCATGTGTTACCACCATAGGAGAGACTAGGATCACCTCCTAATTTTAGCCTCATTTGGTTCTAAGTGGGTCAGATTTAAAGCAAAGCGGAAGTCGCTCAGTGGTGTTCAACTCTTTGCGACCCCATGGACTGCAGTCTGCCAGACTCCCCTGTCCACGGGACTTTCAGTCCAGTTCAGTCACTCAGTCATGTCTGTCTCTTTGCGACTCCACGGACTCCAGCATGCCAGGCTTCCCCTGTCCATCACTATCTCCTGGAGCTTGCTCAAACTCATGTCCATAGAGTCAGTGATGCCATCCAACCACCTCATCCTCTGTTGTCCCCTTCTCCTCCTGCCTTTGATCTTTCCCACCATCAGGGTCTTTTCCAGTGAGTCAGTTCTTCGCATCAGGTGACCAAAGTACTGGAGTTTCAGCTTCAGCATCATTCCTTCTAGTGAATATTCAGGACTGATTTCCTTTAGAATTGCCTAGTTTGATCTCCTTGCAGTTCAAGGGACTCTCAAGAGTTTTTATAGGCAAGAATATTGGGACTTTACAGGCAACAACACTGGAGTGGGTTGCCAGACCCATTCAGGATCTTCCTGAAGCAGGGATCGAACCCAGGTCTCTTGCATTGCAGGTGGATTCTTTACTGCCTGAGCCACTGGGGTGCATAAAGGCACTCAAGCTGGAAGAGTGATCACTTGCAGTGGCGCCGACTGCAGGCCAGTGTTCCCCAGAAGCACCCCGGATCACACCCCGAAATGCCCCCATCCCTGCCATCAGCATGGATACCAAACACCAGGAGAGTGTTCTCTCTGCCTTAACCATTTAGTATGAAATTCAATTTGTGCTAATCGGCCTGAGCAAAGAGAGCACAAAATTAATTTAATGCATTAATTTTGAATTCCGCAGACCCCAAGTCTGGAGCTCAAAGGACAATTCATCTTTCCAAATTGAGGAAACAACAGCTGCTTTTCTCAGAGACAGGAGCCTCTGACCGTTCCCATCCCCACAAAGCCCTCTTCCTTCACACGGGTCCAGAGGCTCTGTCCTTGAGGTGAGGGGTGGGCACCACACCCAGAGCTAGCAGGTGAGTGCAAAAGGAAGACCAGTTTAATGAGAGCCAGGCTGCAAACCCAGGACGGCCTTGTGCAGACCACACTAGGACCAATTAACCAGGAATTATTCTGGGATCCTCCCTGGATCCACTGCTTGGCTGAATCATCAGAAACCCTCTTTCTACTCAGGCACAACGACTCCAAGGGTCTGCCAGAGAGACGGAGATAGAAATGAATGAATCTGCTGTACGTTTCACAGTCAAACAGAAATAACATTCCACGCCTCCTGCACAGACACCAGACTGCGGGGGAACCGTGGGTTACGGGGCTGTGAAGGACCTTAACTGCCGAGCGCACGGGGGGCCCTGGGCTGTCAGGGTCACCGGCCCTGCGCGATGCAAGCACCTACTGCCTGCCAGACCTGCCTTCGGAGACTCTGCTGCTGGGGAGGGAAGGAAACCACGTGTGGAGCACCCACATTCTTGGCCCAGCTGTGTCCTTGGCTCTTAGACTTGAGGACCCCTGGACCCCAAACCACCTGTCCTGCAGAGAGCAAACAGCACCCTTTCCCCTGTCTCCCTGTGCTTTTCTCAACCAAAATGATCTGTTTATTTAAGCCCTAGAATGAGAAACAGCTCACACTCGTCCGCCGCTGTGAACACACAGGTGACCCCTGGGCACAGAAGCCTCACGAGGAGGGTGTTTCTGGCGCTTGCTCACACAGAACAAGATACGGTGGCTGTGAGAGGTGGAACAAGTTGCTCAGATCAGAGCTGATTGGTCTCAGAGGCAGTCCCGCCCAGGCAGCCCAACTCGGGGTCCTGGCTGGACCTCTGTCCAGATGCTGTTTCCTGTCCGGCATCCCCCGTCCAGCTTGATCCCCTGCCCCCAGGCCCCTGGGGGTGGTTGTTCTGGAACAGACCAGGACACGTGGCTAAGGAAGGTGATGGGGAATGGCCAGCGAGTGCAGGTCAGCGGCGAGGTAAGACCGAGACTGCAGCCAAAGGGAGCCTTATGGACCCCTACGCAAAAGAAAGCCCCCATCCCCTTCAAACTGAGTGACTGAAACAGAAAATGAAAAACATCAGGAGAGGAAAAAGGTAGAGAGGAGACAATGGCCCCTTCTCTCCTCTGGGGGCGCGGAGGCAGACAGCAGACTTTCCTGCCGTGCCTTCCTCTGCGGGTCCTGGGCTCAGCCCGCCGTGGTCATCCTTGAACACGCCCGCCCAGCGTCCAGAGAGCCTCTGCAGTCCCCATCCGCCAGGAGGACACCCTCCCCTGTGGCCCCCCAGTGAAGGCTCAAGAGACCCTAACATCCCAAGTCAGGGAAGAAACCAGGCTGTTTCATTCCCTGGGGACGAGGGGGCTCCAACATCCCGTCCCCACAGAAGCCTGGAGCTGCACTAGAGCACAGAACCAGGTGCCAGGAGACCTGGGGCGAGGTCACGGCTCAGGGGCCGTCTGCCCACGTGGCCCCCAGGGAGTCACGCCCCTTGCCCACCCTGCTGGTGGAGAGGCACGGCCATCGGGAGCCACCTCGCTCAGGGCTCCGCTAATGCATGTCTGCTCTAGATCTCCAGTCCCTGCTGCGCCCCACTGGTTCCCTCAGCGATTCTTCACCCAGAAGTGAAACTTCTTGGGCTAATGAGGCCAGACAGCGGTACACATGGGCCTCTGTCTTTTGCCATAAATGAGGTTCTGTACATGTTCCAGAGAGAAGACACCACCCCGCTCTCAGGCACCGCCTTGTGCTCCTGCAGCCTCCCTGGGGCTCCCACCCAGTTGGACTGCTTCCCTGTGGAAATGCAAACCCCACTGGGCATGCAGGCCGATCCTGCACACTTGAAGAATATTTATAGTCAGCGTCTAGAGGCTCCTCATCTCCTCTTCGGCTCCTTTGCAAATGAAGCACTTAAATTATTTTGCAGTAATGTTGTCTTTTTAATAAGGCTCGTCAAACTGCATTCTCGCTGATGAGGCACACCATGTTCCAGCCACGTTTCTGTGGCTGTTTCCCCGCCGAGACGAGGGGCAGGGTGCAGACGCTGAGAAGGGTGCTGGGGGGCTGCATGATGCACAGACCTGAAGGAGTGTCTGCTCCCCGACTGTCAACAGAAGCTCCCTTCCGAGAAAGGAGAACCGAGGAGAAGCAGACAGTTCGAGCCTATTCTGTAACTTGACGTTTCTCAAAGTGTGGTCCCTGAACAAGCAGGTTCAGCATCACTTGAGAACTTACTAGAACTACAAAAGCTCCAGGGCCATCCCAAGCCACCAACTCAGAATCTCGAAGGCTGGGATCCAACGATTCACAGCCTAACCCATCCTCCTGGGGATTCTAACACACGTTTGAGGAGGAGAACCCCACAACCCTAACATAGCACGAACCTCTGCCCCAGGGTCACCTCGAGGCTTGCTGGAGAAGTGCGGAGGGACCCCGACCCCCAAGATTCCCTCTCAGGCCCAACCTTGAGAGATGGAGCCAGTTAAGCTACAGAGGGAACAGCTCCTCTGGGTGATTCCGAGGGCTTCCCACGTGGC